TAGAATCATACATATTTTCTTGATGAAAAATATTTACAAGTGTACTGTCTGTTAAGGGGGTTGAACATATGTACATGTATAATCAATAAAAATAATTTAAATATGTATGTTTTTATTTGTTTATTTCTGACAAGAAATTATAACAAGAAAAAAACAATAGAAATTATTTCAAATATAATTAAAACATATTTTTGTTGTTTGGATTTAAAATCAATTTAAAAGGTACAAGAACGGCAAGCAAATGGTTATAAGTTAAACGATTAAAAAAAAAAAAAGTTAAATAAGACATAGAGATGGCGTGTTTGACCCAAGAGTGTCGTCAAGTCTAGGAAATGTAGCTGGTCAACGACTGGGGAACTAGGACAAAAAAGTCATAAAACATATAAATCACTAATGCCATATAGCATTTGAATGTGAAATGAGAAAGAAGAAGATACGTATGATAATCGTCGTTTACATCGCACACGCATCTATAGTTATGGTAATGATTAACGGCGATTAATGCAAAGTATATACGTGTCAACGTTACCTCGACCATGTAGAAGAAAATTGAAATTGTATAAAATATTATTCTAGCGCAAATTCCAAGTACCCCGGGCTATTTTACCACATCAGTATACACAGGTACAAAATATATTATACCTAGTTGATGCGTCATACTACGATGTGACAGAAAAACGGCAATACCATTTTTTATTTTTTTGGTCGTCGTTGTGTGTGTGTGTATATTCTCTATTGGAACAAATAAACAGAATGGTTAATACGGTGATAAGTCACCGACAAAAGAAGACAGGCTAAATAAAAAAAACACGGCAAATTGAAATCTAAAAATCCATAATAGATATTATATTTTGTTCTCACACGGTTTTCCTCAAATTGAACGTGAAATATCGGCACACGGCCGCTGCACAACAGATCACAAACACCACACACATATATAATATAACAAGAGTGAAAGAATATTTATAATAATAATGTACCTACATAAGAAAATAATATACAATAATGGAGTATACGCACCTCGCGCTTTTTTCTCTTATCAATCACACACCCATTATACACGGCTTTGTAGTGTGTACAGGCTACAGCGTAATTGAATATAACTGTACCCACACGATATATAATAATATAATACACAGTACCTAGGTTGAACGCAGTTAGTGGAGAAAATCAAAACGGAAATACATATTATTCTATTTTCTCCGGACAAATATATAATTCTCTCATACAACAATAAATGTATTATCACTTATCGATTGGTCATATATCATGTATTATACTAACGCTATTCATCTACACTTGTAATATAATATAATACTATGTTGATAATATATCATCTGCCGCAAGCGTGTGTCTAGAAATTGCAAATGAGAGGGGCTAGTTTGAGCGAGACTAGTAAAAATATTGATTTCTAGTACATCTCGTATCATTTTCATACTATTTTTGTTAAAAGTTATTAAATAACGATGGAAATAATTTTATTTTTTTTTTTTTATTAGAAAAATATACATACTGTACACTACAATATTCGTACAATAACCATATGGTATGATTATTATATACAGTTTGCAGTGTATCACTTGTTTGAAGAAACCATCCAGTGATGGAACTCCAATGGCTGGAAGAGTGGAGTTTAGGTTAGCAGTTCTCTACACCATTTTTTTTTTAGGCGACGGGGTGGGTTTTCAGGAAGATTAGGCCAGGTCGGCAATTAAAGGTTAAGGATGTCCCTGGACTCTATTTCGGAATCTTTTGTAGTAGGTTTTGGCTGGAAACAATAATTATTATAAATGCTGGTATCAACAATAAAGACAAAACAATAACGAAGTCCCATCCACAGTTTTGATTTATATAATACAGTGTGATCCATTCAGTAGATAGCCAGTTTTTAATAATTACGTGCAAAAACTCAATCGGCCCTACTTTACCACTCCTATAGTGTAGGATAAGCGGCTTACTCATACTATTTTCCGGTCTGTAATCAGCTTCCTCATTTTTAGCAGAGAAAATTTAATTTAAAAAATATGATTGTGTTTCGTGTACTCACATTTCAAAAGAAAAACTAAAATTTTTTATAATATTAAATAAGCAAACAATAAATATAATGTTTATATTAAATCATGGTCTCTAAAATGTGACAAGTATTTATTTTTATTTTTGTAAGTACAAACATATTATCGAATTAGTACGACTTTTAAATATTATAATGTGCATCGAGCTTTGTCGGTTTGACCCTTGATATCTTATTATAGATAATGATCTCAGATTTATTTACATAAATACAGACAGGAGAGACACATTGTCAACGGTATTTTAATAGGATCGTCGTTAGCTCTGAACATACCGAAATAGTTGTGGAAAAACAATTAATTTATTAGAAACCAATAATATAATTATTAAAAAACATGTCGCTCTGCGGTCTGCTGGAAAATTTGTCAAAGATTTCTACTAAAGGTTGACTATACAACCCTCCCAACATGGCACCGCCGGGCGCTGGCCTGTGGCGTTGAACGCGAGGTAAAAAAAGAAACAGCTTAGACTGAGAGAGGTACAGACATCAAACGCGCGGAAGATAACCATGTTTAGCGTCGAGGCAAACTTTGCCGTCCCTCGGAGGATTGTTATCGCATTGTGGAGAATGTAACTAAATTCTTGTTCCTTTTATCCCCTTCCGCCCACACTCCTTTGCCTATTCCTTTGTGTAACAAAATCGAGGCGGAAAAGCAATTTCTTTTAAGAAAAATCCGAGTTTGTATGTGCATTTGTATTTTTTTTTTTTAACGAATTCGTACGATTTTTTCTCCCTTTCCCCCCTTTTTTTCTCTTATCTAATACGACAAACAGTCATCTAACGAACTGGTCTTGTTTGTCTTTTGATACATACACTCGGGCTTGCCGGCTAAAAAACATCAACTATATAACAACAAGAGAAAAAAAACCGCACAGTTACGGTTTAATTAAGCTGCAAAGTACGAGGAGACCGTTTTGTACATTGGAATTCTATATGTGCGCATTGGCGGAAAACGTTTTTGCCATTTCCGCCTTATCGTTTAATTATTTCCAATGTAACTGCTGTTGTAAATAGAAAACCCGTGGAGGGAGGAACCAAAATGGCGATGGCATTGTGTTGGCTTGTGCGTAGGCGAATGGCTGTCATCACGACTAGAAAAACATAGGAAAACGTCAGAATACGATGTGCGGATCAAGTATAGATAGATTTCCCAGATTAAAGTTGCCCTACATCGTAAAGCGCTTATCGCTGTCTATTCGATTATATTGGTAAAGAAATTAAAAATGGTAAACAATATGCGTGTTAAAGTCTTAAGTTTACACAAAGAATAACATTTTCTACGATATGTGTTATAATTATTGAAGTAATCAAATTTACAACAAAGAACGCACGGCGATTTCTATGTTTGAGGTAAGAAGACAAAGATGATTCACCGATGAGATATATTATTTAAAATTATTGTGTAAGCGTAATATTAAAATAATAAGTTGCAATGAATAAAAATACTATTCAAAAGACACTCGGTCACTGATATGAAATCAAATAATTAAGCAACAGCGAAACAGCAAAGATTTTCCACAATTTCACTCTCACACAGATGCTGTTTTTGGAGAAAAGAAGTGCGATAAATAAAAAATAAATATCTCACCCGATGTTTATAAAAGTTTAGGGCTAGAGTGTTTATGAATTTGCATCTATATTACTATTAACCCAGTTTAATTGTTATCTAGCTACAAAGCACATTGATGAATGATATAAATATTACTATTTTCAGCTTATTAGCTTATCTAGAACTTAAGTAAAATCAACGTTTTTTTTTTATAATTCTAAAAGTTTTATTTGCATAATATTTGTAAATGTGTAATATTGTTTTTTATTTACATTCTTCAACTATGTTGTTAAAATATTATGTTTTCAATTAATAAACTTTTTAATTTTAGTGTTGATATTGAAAAATAATGTTAATATGTAAATATATATATATATATCGGGTGATTGGTTAACAGCTATGGACCACTCAATATCTTAGAAGCTCTATGTATTGAATTTAGGTATAGGTACCTATACCTATATTTTTGGTATGAATAACATTTTAATTACATAATTATACAAAAAAAAATACATTTCCACCATACAGTTAATGTAGCAACGTCGGTGCGAAATACAGTTTACCTATTGGCTTAATATATAGTATTTATATACTGATAGCCAATCTGTATAAGCGGATAGACCGCGACGTTGCCTAAGTGTCACCTGGTAAAAATATATAGTTTACGTTTGAATTAAAATCTCGACAGCAATCGAATCTGCGGTTCACCATCAAAGGTGTTCCGCATACAGACGATAGGCCTACATAAAGGGAATGTCGATAAAGAATTAATGCTTGGGCGGTGGGGACTCGGGACTGATGAAAATCAGGAAACGATCGCTTTGGCCGGTTGCCAAGCAACCAGCCCAGCTAACGGCCAATTTGCGATTAGCGCACGCTAGTACAATCGTTTTGCACACTTTATTCTACCGCCTGCACGCCCGTCAACCGTCGCCACCGCCACCAACGTTTAACTCCCCCGAATGACCAATAATAATTTATAGTGTCAATGACTGGCGACCGTTGCACTTTCGGTTGTTGCATACCGCCTTGGAAACTTTAAATAATGATTTTTAATTTTGTCTGATGCGTTTGCTGCACCTATGTTTAATTTATCTACAACAAGTATAGGTAATGGGGAGTTAATGCAGCTATATTAAGTAAAACATGATAGTTACATTATAGCTTTTTGGGTGATTAATATTATATTTTAATGCTGCATAATATAAGAGCCAAAATCTACTCCAATTCTAACCATTTCCGTTTTTATGCATACAATGAATTCATTCTTTTTTTTTTTTGTATAATAAACTAATTATAGATAACTGCCCATGCTACATAAAGAAGCGCTTACGACTTATTAAATATAAATTAAAATATGTTAATTTTTAGTACTTATACCTTTAACGTAGATGGAATTTTCCTCGGTCTGGTGAAAATGCCATACAACAACTGAATACAGAACGAGCTGAAAAATTAAAAATTCAATTAAAACGAATCACAAGAAAATACTCAAAAGCTAAAGGCCAATTTCGGTAAAATATATTTGAAAATATTTTCCTATGTAAAATAATCACATTACATAATGATAAGTGCGATGTAATTATCTTATCTAATACATACATATAATATAACGCGTGTACCTGATTATTTAATTTTATTTGTTAAACATAATGGAATACTACGAAAGATATAAATCTTGAAACACTTCACACACCTGGGTGCACCCAATGCTTTTGTATACTAAATATGTATTACAAATTAATCGCTTGGAATCAGAAATCTCCACAATATCATTATACCAATTATTTCTACCTCCGCGGTATAATAATATAATAACATGAAAATTAGATATTATATTCCAGATTTGTAATTATATGAAATTTGAAAGTCTGTAATGCTTTTCTGACTACGCAAAACGATGTATGAAAATATAATTCTTCGTTTCGAGATCAATTTCCCTCAAATTACACTCGAGCTACAAATAATTTTGAATTTGTTGCAAAATTAGGGCTACGCGGGTCACTGGACGCTTACTGTGGTAATTGACAATCGTGTAAGACAAATTTTCCTGTCCGTCTATTATCCGGTCTGCTTCTTATATAGCCCAGGTTATAAGTGTTTTGTTTAATCCGACCGACGTGCTCGAATAATAATTATCACAAGTTATGTTAATCCTAATGTTCATTTACATTAGTATTAATAACTCGGAAATGTTTAGTCGTATAGATTAAACAACAACTTACTCCTACATACATAAAAAACTAAGCACAATATAAACCAGTACCAGTTAAAAGTTATCATACAAGCATATTTTCTTAAATGTTAGACAGAGCGAAAGCCAAAACAATATGTTACACTGAAAAATCTTTGGAGCGAAATAATACTTTCGTATTTCAAATACTAACAAATTATATGATAATAAATGTAGAGATATTATGTATAATATAGTGTTTGATAGATGAAAGTATTACTATGTTTACTGTTTTGTATACTAACGGGTTTTAAGTTAAGAAAATGTTTGAGACAAATAGTCTTCATTAATCGTTTTATTGATTATTTTTTCACTATCGGTTTTCCACAAGATCTAATTAAACTTTCAATTGTTAATCATATTATCACTGTTATAGGTCTACTCAAGAACGCATAATACGCCTTGAAACACGACCAAAGGTTTTATAAAAAATATATTAAGTATCCTACATAGGAAAAATTGCCAAGTACCAGTATAAAAATCTTCATTGGACTGAACTAGGAAATACGTATACGGTAAATACTAGATAGGATTTTGTGAACAAATTGCCTATATTTTACTCCTTAAAAAATTGGTGGTGTCCCGTCCTTTAATTTTTTCATAATTTTCGTAACATAGCTAGTATAAATGCAAAAAAATAGTTCGAAAATTTTGTTTGCATACTTGTAAGTTGTAGTCTCTTAACTCAATATACAATTTGAGTTATACAATTTGAGAGTACAGAAAATCCATATTATTGACCACCTATAACTGTTAGTTTATACTTAAATCGATTTATGGAAGACTATCTTCTTACAATCTAAAGATTCGTGTCGAAAGGCTGTTAATAATTTTAAATTTGATTTGATAATTTTTCCTGAAATTATAGTTTTTTTTTTTCAAACGAAAAACTATACTGTATACATAAATACATCACTGTGAAATGCAAGTTATATAATTTGTTTCCAATAGTTTTAGTAATAAAAACAAATATAGAACTCCAAAGTTTTGAATTTGCAGCATTGAGTTAGATTGATCAAATTTTGTTGGCATTTTGTAGCCTTCAAATAAATTACCATATTATACTAAATTTCTAAAGTTTGCAATAAAAAAAAATGGCTTTAAATTCCACATTTTTTAAAATGTATTTATAGTGTAACGGTTTCTTTTCCTCAACAACAAAATTTGTAGTCTCAAATTGGTTTTCAGTATAATATCATAAATATGATACTAGACCTAATTCCTGTCTAATTTTCAGTTTTCAAGACGTGAAATAGAGAAGTGCGTATAATATAAGTGTCATACAAGCGAGATTCGTTAAATTACCCAATTATTGTCGTTGTTTGCAATAGAAAATGATTTTTACTGCGCCGTTTATCGATTCGGACGGCAACTAAAAAATCTTTGCGAATATCGCCGTACCTACCATTGCAGGTCCATTACGCCAACGCCGTTCATTTATCATCGCAGCAGGTGTATATTGCTGGAGCCGCCGCCGCTTGTAGTTCGTGCTCTCATTTTAGATTCCGCTCATAACTTTTATTATTATACTTTTTCGGAATTAATACGATTTTTCATCTTATATTACTTCATTGTAACTAGAACCGTACATCTTTTCCATCTCTCCACGTTTCCGGTACGGGACCCCGCCGCCGCTACCTCTGTGCGTGTGTGTACACAGCTTTTCATACGACCTATTCGTACACACACAAATATATATATATACCAAAGCCCCGCCGAGGATCTTTGGACGTTAATAATATCCTCGGACCGGCCATGAGCACAATGCGGGAATTAAAACAGTATTCATTGTTATTCTCGAAATGATTCGGTTAGGGCGGCGGTAGGAGACCTGCGGACCCAAGATAGCAAAAAAAAAAAAATAATAATAATAATAAGCAGAAAAAGAAAACGGAGAATAAATAAATAGGACGGAGAAAAAGGGAAAACCGTGAGGAAAGACGTGGAGGTTATTAAGTGCGACGGCGACGGCAGTAGCAGCAACAGCAGCAGCAGGCTTGATAAAAATAAAAAAGGACGTATGAGAAATGAGTTCGGACTATCCACCATTTATTTTTTTTCCTTTGCCATATTTCACATAGATATATATATATACCTACATACACACATTCGCAGGGCGAAGGAAATATTCTTGCCTAGATTAATTAAACTCTTGGGCAAACCGCGTATGTCACGCGTCTCTTTCACCCTCTCTCTTTTTCATTCTTTTGTAACTTCACAGGCCCGCCCAGACATTTTGCACAGTTCTATAATACCTACGTCCTGTCCTTATGACTCCCGCTATTCATTATTCGAACAACGACCACAACTATACTGTATTCAGCTGGTCATTATTCGCACGGGCTAAAAACAACTTCAGGTGTTTCAAATATTTTGTGTACCGCTGATAAAAATACTGAAATCAACCATTTCGCCCATTCTTATCAACAGTTTCTATACATATTTATATTTATAGTTTTATAACTATAATTTTACAATTATTGTTGGTTCCTAAAGGCAACAAGGTTGTGAATTGTTAACTGTTTACCCCGTGATATTAAATTATAGGTACAATAATAACCAAATCGCGTTGTATTCACGATAGCGTTTCATTTCATTTTATTTCCGTTTGCGGTTTTTATAAGCCAAAATCAAATATATCAGATCGTAAGTTTATATTTATTTAAGAAAATAGTCTATTATTCCTTAACGTTTTTACCCTTATCTCCAATTTTCATGAACCACAGAATCCATTCAATCAATCCGTCATAAATCTCTTTTATAAAGTATTCCCCGAGTAACGAAAAAAAAAAAAAACAACATCACAACTTACAAAGAAATTGTGTTTGCGGTTCATCACAACTGATCCTTGACGAGCGGGTTGTCTCGTCGAAAAACTTTCGTTTAAACCGTTCGCTTACAGTTGAAATGAGTAATTAAAAATTATTGTCGATAAACCAATGCATGCGGAAAACAGATAATGGGTAATATAATCGAAACAACAAAATATTATATCATCTAAATTTTAACCTGTGCAATTCGATTTGGATTTTTCGAGTTTAATCCGACCCTCTGACAACGTCGGTACACTTCATCGCTGCGGTTTGGCTCTTTTAAAGAGGAAGGGCCACTTAAATTTCAAACGGAAACCCTAACACGATAAAAGTGTGTGTTTCCCATACGGTTGTTTACTTCACTGGTCCATATGTAACTCGATTTATTATAAAAAAGAAAAAAGAAAGGATCCGTATGACACGCATCGACCAAGCCCTCGACAAGTATAACCGCGAGGGGAAAAGGTCAAAACCTCAGTCAACCGATTTAAAACGCTGTTTAAAAATTCCAATAATCCCGTTTACCAAATAATCCCATACAAAATATACTTTTATACAATATTCTCCCCTTCTAAAAGTCTATTCAACATCTGAAACCGTCGCTTCTCAATATTTCGCCGATAAAAAAATATTGGTTTTCATTGTTTTTACAACGGTAACTTTATTTAGCTCATAATGTTTTTGTTAGACTTTTCAAAAATCATTAATCAATACTCAATTATTCTAATACTTGTTTTACCTCAATTAGCTAAACAATAAACTTAAGTGAATAATTTCTTTGACAATAATTCTTATAGTATTAAATTATAGTTCTGAGTTACCTAAAGGCATTGTTTTTTTAAATTATTATTAAATATATTTTGTAATTAATGCTACAGGTAAACAATCAGGTAGGCAATCAAGAAAACTACTATCTCTGTGAAAACAGTTCTGTGGATAAGTTTTTTTAATTTCAAATAATCACAATATTCATACTTATTATTATTATTATTATTTATGTTACGATACGGGCTTTTGTCCAATTTACAACTTGTATATTTAAATAACAACTCTACAGAAAACAACAACATTTTATAAGCAATTACAATAAAAACAAATATAATATATTATATTACTTAATACAATATATTTATACTTATTACTTATTTTTCTACGATTTAATTTCTTTCAATTAGTTTAATAATAAAATAAAATTATAAGGGTTTAATATTAATGTACCGTAGTCTGTAAAAGCTTGGTAAAAGCTATACATTTTATTTGAAATAGTATGCTTCATGTTGGAACCATCCGTTTGTAACCTCTATATCAAGCAATAAAAACGACACACATGTGGTGGTTTGCTCTACAATTAATATGGAATTGATATTTTTTTAAAACATATTATAAATCATTAAATATCTA